TAAAGCATCGAAAGCAAGTATTGGCTTTGGATTTCAAAAATTCTATAAGAATGTTGACCATAATTTACTATTAAATGTGTCAGAAGTCTGTTTTCTCATTTTATACCGCACGAAAACCGTTGATCTGCTGTTTATGAATATTATAAAATTGCATTAAATTTAATTTGTGTTTCAAATCTTTTTTTATCGAATCTCTCATTTTGCCAGTATGTAAATGCTATTATTAGATATGAAATGAAGAGTAGGATAATATTATTTGAACCCTCTGTTTTGCAAATTCTTGTGTTATCAACATCAAGTTTGACACGGCAGGCCGACACCGGGTCACTTTTGATACGTATTGTACTTCCGTCTCATTAACCTACATGTACCCCATCAGTAATTATTTAATTGAAATATTTATCACATAAATGATTTTTATTTTATTCTTATTTAACTAACAATAAATTGATACCAGATGTGAGTATACATACTCGTAACTCGTAACTGTTTGCTAAAACTCTTGAACATTGCGTGTATACCATATTTTGCAAAGGACAATGTTCGTGTTTCTACGTTAATAAAATAGTAAACTTACTGAAACTTTGCTTTACTTACATAAACTCATTAAACCAAGCTTATTGTTTGTTGGATATCAATCGCAATAATGAAAACGCGAAAAGATAAATATAAAGTAATGATTTATCGGTTTATTTGTTAGTTTACACGCGGAATTGGTAATTTCCTCTAATAATTCGGCATTGGATCCCTCATTGTTCGTGGCTTGGTTATTCTGGTTCGTGTTCCTCTCGATTATCCTGTGCAATCATAAATTTACGATTAGCTTTGTAGTACGATTCTTCCACAGGATTGTTCCGCATATGTACCGCAGATTAATTGTCGAAACCGATTTTAGTTGATTCGAATCACGCGGCGTAACATTTATCTCGAAACTGGCCAATCACCGTTTGAATTCGTAACGGATTTGTAACTGTAACAGGCCTTCGTGAATTGTCATTTAATTGAAGCTGATCATGCGGTTGTTTTATTTTGAAAGAACTGCTTTCCATAGAAAGAAGGAAATATTTCAACATAGTCGAACAAACGTTTTTTATATGTATAAACTGATCATTTTGGTACCTACGAGTGTAATTTTACCAATGAAAATTACCAATGAAAAGTCCACCATGTGACGGTTTTTTCGTCGGTAAATATCGAGTCAATTCTGACGCAACCCGAAATTTTCGTTATAAGCCAGATAAACTTGGCTTTTTAAAAGAAATAGTTTGTAAAGTATTCTTTTCTTTTAAATCGTAAAGTTTATAATTATAATATCTACTGTAATGTACAAAAAATTAATTGATTGCAAAATTTAAATAATTACTCCTTACTTTTTTATTTCTACTTGTAAGGAAAGACGCCATTTTCAATTGTATCACGATCCCAAATGCACTAGAGAGTATAGAGAATGATTCGCAAAAAGCAGTCACAGTATCTACATGTGTATGTACAATATGTATATCATTCAACTTGCCTTGATACCAGCTACTATGCTCTGAAGTATGAAATCTAAAAACCATCGATGGCCTTTAAAAAAACCTTGAGGATATCAACAATCAGAAAATCTCTTTATATCATCATATTTTTCCCCTTGAACAGTACCATTATTCTTTTTAACATTTTCTCCTATCTTCAATCCTAACAAAGATACATTTTAGGTGTTCTGTTTCCCCTGAATCACCCTGTGTAGGTATAATATTCTTTCCATACAATTCCATAACAATTTGAACTTCAGTTTACACTCCACAGAATACTTAACACTAGGACTAGAATTTCCAAAACTCTCAAAATGATCGATCTATAATGTCTTGTAAATATTACACAATTTTGTAACGCTGTATTTTCTTAGATTTTTGTCGCTTTATTTGCTGTATGTAAATGAAAAAATCAATGTATTTATTTAATATAATCTATTAAATAATATATTAATTTATTTAATTTATATTTACCATTGCAATGTCATTTATCGTTCTGATAGAAATAGGTATGGGCAGGGGTATATTAATTGTTCATAGTTCAAACGTTGAATTTGAATTACATTTGTAAATTAAAATTGTGTCAGCATTATTTCCAAAATACTTAAATAACTTATTTTAAACTAAATGAAACAATACTCCACTCGGATTATTCTGATTCACACTATATATATGTAAGAAATAGGAATGTATGAACGTATCACAATTTTTCGAACTTTACACTTTGCTGCGAATGAAATATATTTACTTGTAACACAGCCTTTCGAAAACGTAATAAAATCGTGTGCGTTTTTTATTCTATACATTCTGGAAACAATCGTGCTTTTATATCGGTCGCAGTACCGATGACACGTTTTCCAATTTTCTCCGTGGCTTTTCGGGGCTGACGAAAAATCGTCGGTCGTGCAAACACATTTAAATGATTTTAATGAATCGAGCCAATATGTGCTAACGACAAATCGACAGAGGAAAATGCGAAACGATTTAAACGGGCACCGGTGAACGAACACAAGCATGGAAAAACGCCGCGTTTGATTGCAATAAAAGAAATCAAACAGATTTATCGAATAACTTTATCGACTTTATAGATCGAATGACGCTTGATATAAAACTAACTAAATGGCGGTTGCTTTAAAGAACATAGATATAGGGATCGGGCAGTTAAGAAATATTTATTGTTTACTTCGAGTATTATTAATTTATATGTTAATGAAATTTTTTACCAACAATTGTTACACGGATCAAATCACAAATTAAATGTAAAAGACATAGTTGCCAGTGAGAAATTAAGGGGTTAATATTTTTTAAAGCGGTCATCTTATTTATACATAGATTGGGCATATCTACAAGTGGTGCAGAATATACGGGCGAAATATTATTTCTTAACGTCAAAGGTGAAAAGAGTAGTACTCATCACAGAAGTGCAAGGAGTGTGGCCTATTATGGAATCTATATTACTATCATTTGATTGATCTGAGGAGAAAATAAATAAAGTGGTAATAATTATTGCACCTATGTATTAAACTAGAATACGTAGTTTTGAGGTTCCATACTTGTTGTTATGCAATTATCATCAACACGGTAATATGAGCATTTTTAAGAGAAACGTAAATTACATAAAACACTGATTAGATCGGATAATGTACAATAAATTAGAGAACTTAAAATTTCAATCTACGCTAATAATTGTTAAGTAAGATTCTATGAACATACCTTTAAAAAAATTACTGAAAATTATAGGTATATGTATTTACTCAATACATATATTGGAATGATTATATTAATTTTATAATATTGGATTGATGTATTTGAAATTTCTGTATTAACGAGAACTACACTGTATTTAATTATTCACATTCATGCTACACGAAAACATGAAGTACACAGTTCTCAAATGCGTGTATTCGTACTCATTAAGTTTTCCTTGTCAATATCGATATAATGTATACATATACTCCAAGAAGATGCCTCGCGTGGAAAAATTGCATTTTTCACTTCAACATTTTTTCACGCAGAATCATTCCGTGACTTTATTGTTTTTTATTGTTTCCATTGTATTTATACCGTCAGTTGCGTGACTACAATTATCATTACTTTTTAAGGACCTTCTCTTATCTCTCTAAAAGTATAAAGTGTATTCGTGCATTCACAATACTTCATAATATATTGACAAAGCTTTGCTTATCACGAAACTTTTTATATTAACATAGTCACAATGATTTTTCAAATTCATGCGCGTATTTGTTTACATTCTTCTTATGGGACATACTCGATTATATACAACTATATTTTTGAAATTATGATTACATACACTCCCGCTCATAAGTATCAAGACACTTATGGAATATGCAATAAATGTTCCAAACGTTATGAAATTACTGAAAGTCTGAAATAAATATTTTTTGGGGACATTAAAGCTCAGTGGACAAAAGAAAGTACATATTATATATTTTTACGAAACATCACATTCCCTTCATATAAACCATGTGTCCTAATACCTACGAGCGTGTGGCCAGCAAAATCCCTCAACGAGGGAAAATGGCGGATGGTAGTATTTTGAAAATGGGGGAATGTAAAATAATGACAACCATAACATAACCTATCACCAGGCCGACTCCAAACCCAGCCAAGTATCGTACCAATTGCAACGCTACAGTTGTGACATTATTAGAGCAATTAAAGCACGTCGCCATTGCTACGTGTTTAGTCGTACATGATAAGCAATAATAAACGCGCTTTTAGGAATTTTAGCACAGCAGAAACATCATCCAGCTTTGCTGCATGGTAAAATCTGTCGTAATGAGGACACACCTTTATGACACGATATTACGATCGCATTCATTGGCTACAAACTCTCTTGTATCTATAATAAGTTTCCGTTTAGTCGCAACGATTTTCTTTGGGCAAATTATTTATAACGTGTAAACGGACCTTTATAGAAAAAGAAATGTTTATGATACAGAAATTTCACCAGCGCGACCTTTTGCTCCTAAACTTGCCATTAGCAGTCGACGATGACTACAACCTGGGGTTCTTGGACTACTAAAACAACGTGCAACACAATCAAGGATTTTTGGATAATTTATGGGTGTTACCGGTAGCTGATTTCCAATAACTCCGGGTCTCCACTGGGAAGGGGAACTTCAACGCATAATTCCCTTTCACAATTACCAACAATTTTGTCACACCCACAGAAACACCAATCATACATAACCACAACCACCATTTCGATACATTGATCAACCAACAGGAACACACACAAAACCAATATAGAACCGAACAAACAACAACCAAGGAGTCTGCGAACAGCTACGAAGGAGACCACTTTGACAGTCAAATGCGATCTCAGGCATTCGTTGACAAGTAGGGGAAGATTGCCAAATTGTGACCATCATTTAGGTTAGAACACTACGGTAACTTGGTATATGTGAGCAATTTTACACTAAGATAGTTAATATAATCACCACTACCATATGTGTATTGTCTATGAATCAGTGCAAATTGCTTGAACATGACAAGGTACAATAGTGGTCCAGCCTAGGCGATGGTCCAAATTCGGCAATCTTCCCCTATCAAATACAATCAAGACATTAGACAACAGTCTATCCTTTATTTTTATTTCCAACTATCCCGACAGCATTTATTTGTACTTTGGAAAGCGAAGTTCGCGAGATAATCCAATTAAACAATTATCGCAACATAATATAAAAGAAAAGTTCAAAGTTGACTATATCTAACTTCCAGATTTTCCAACGTCTCATGAAAGAGTGCTCGAACTCCACTAATTTTTCAGGATGTTTAGATGTCTGGCATTCGATTGGATCAGCGGATGAATAAAAATAAGAAAAAGTCTGTAATAAAGAGAAGCATTCGGGCGCCTCGCCGCGACATTGATCTTGATGCGAAGTGTTCCAGCGAGGCACGATAACGTTATACTGTGTTCATTATTTCGTGGTTCAGTCGTGGAAAGTTTCCATCAGCGGACAGCGATCTGTCGCCGTGATTTTGTTGAAATATATGTGTTACTTTATCACAGTACTGTGTAATAATATGCTGGAATTTATTCTGTTTCAGGGATACGAGGGGTCCCTGCTGAAAGTCACGAGTAAAAATGGGAAAACAGCGTCGGTAAGTCACAATAGTTTGTCTTTTATTTTTAAACCGACACCAATAAACAATCTGCTATTTTTTTTCCAAATTCAATATTCATTTTAAGGAAATGAAAAATTTCATTTCAATCCTACTTCAGTAATATTTCTTCCTTATCTCCAAACTTGTACGCCATTTTGTCAAGGTAAAGAGGTGAGAGATACAGTAATAATTGACAACACTGTTTTCGTTATAATATTAGCGTAAGAATGATTTACTTCCACGTGTACTAGAACAAGTTAGTTTCATATTAAAGTATATCTGGACCCCAGAACCAGAGTATATTGAGTTGTAGTTTCTAAAAATTAGAGGTCCAAAATCCTTGTAACTTTAGAACTGTTCGATAAGAATTCATCGAGAAACAATTGCTACCTTCAAACACTTGAATACACTTAAGACAAGTCTCGATATGTAGAAATAGTAAACATAGCATAAGTCCCCTATGTGATGGACTTTATACTGTTTGAAAACTGAAAGAGTAAAAAATTTGATACGAGGAACATGTAAAATGTAATTTTCTTTTTAAATGTGGACAATACATTTTGGCTCTGGAGTCTAGATATCTAGCCTGAAAATATTTTTAATCTGCCGTTAGATTAAAAACAGTATTGTCAGTTGATGGTATAGGTCATAGGTCATCGGTGTATAGATAGTTTTTTCTACCGCTGTATGTTTTCATATTACAGTGGAACGTCGATTATATCGTAAGCGAATATTATACGAACGTCGGTTGTCTGAAAGAACGATTATTATCAGAATACAAAAGAGTCATATGTTTAAAACATAATAAGCGTTGCGTTACATTTTATTTATCTCACGATCATTAAAAAGAAACAGAATTTCATTGAGGTTGAAGGTGAACGTGCCCTTAATTTAGTTAAAAGCAATATAGTTTTAGAAAGAAATGTGCATCGCTCAGAATTATTTTATCTTTGTTGTTTTATTATACACTGGGCGCCAAAATTAAAGCATCACTAAAATTTGCCGAAAATATTGGTCATCTTCAGATGCCTATATCTTCGCGAAAAATAGCTATAAAAAATATTGTGACAGAGCATTTTGTAGCCCGAAGTTTCTAGTTTTTGAATCGAGAATTCAAAAATTATTTTTATGTAGTTTGTTCCTTTTTTTTTTTTAAGATGAAGCGCAGTAAGCGAATGTTAAAAAATGTTGGTCAAGTTTGAGAGGATGCATGGGCCAAATGAAATTTTTTCTGGTAATTCCAATGGAATACTTTTAAAAAGCAAACTTTTCTCTTTAATTTCGTTTTTTTTATTTTGTTGTACAGTTTTTATTGGCCGAGTTATTCGTCATCATACGAGAAAAGGTACTTTCCACTTTGAGCGCCTGTAACTTGCGAACGCATGATCGTATAGAAAATTCCAGAAGTGGTATTGGGAAAGCTGAGAGATTTCTCTTTAAAGACCTTTAGTTGCCAATTTGTTGAAATTTTTGTTCGTCGTCTACAGTCCATTTCAAAATAACATAAAATATTTACATTACATTATATAAATATTACATTAGAACTGTTCTTGCAGTAATTGCATCACGGATTTTTTTTCTTCTTTTTAGCAATTCCATTAAATCCTTCAGTTTCCTCCTCTATTTATTCCTATCGAAATTTTTTTCTTAGCAAATTTTTCACA